CTGTTGAAAATAAATACAGATCACTAATATCTATTCTTTCTAATATGAGCGTACATGAATTAACAGCTGGACTCTGTAGCTTCATTAAATCAATCAATTACACTGAGATTTTAGAGTAAGTCATTTCAAAATAGTTTTGCAATTGTAAATTATCTTACTTATTTTCTTAATGGTTTATTTTACTAATTTTATTATTATCACGAAAGTATGGATCCAAAGTTCAAAGCCATATCCAATTAGCTTGTCTCTCAGAAAACTACAAGGAATGCTAAAGGATGATTTACCCATGGACAAAGATTGCTTTAATTTGATCGTACAGAAGATTATGTTTGATGATATCCAAACATCACAAAAGAAAAATCAATTGATAGCAAAGCATTATCTAGACATGAAATTTTGGGTATGTTTTTATATTCGTTATATACTTTTTATATTCTAATTTTTTATCATCTTTCTAACCAATAATTTTATATACTAGATGACTACTGATTTTGGAAGGCACCCAGATTTCCGTAAAAAGTTAGATGTGGAGCAACTAGCAAATTCTGTTCGTAGTTGGCCTGGTATCAAATATAATGTTTCAACATGTAAATCGGTAAGAGCATTTTTGTATACTTTAGAGCATTTTTTTATTATTGCATCTAATATGTAGCCTATTTCAGATCCATATTCTAGTACAATCCATTGATGAATTCATTTTATTCACATTGGACCAAGATACAAGAACAGTGTACATTTTGGACCCTACTCCTATTAATCCAATGTACCAATACAACCCACTTGCAAAATATTTTAAAAAAATTATATGGATTTCCGAACACTTACGGAAAGCAATGTCAAAAGCATGCCCTGGGTCTAGATGGAACGAGGATATTCTCCTATGGCATCATAAAATCCTAGATGATATTCCAGTTTACAACAGGTATTTTTCAGAAGATGAATACTAGATATTGATTATTTGTTGATTTGATTATGTAGAGATTATTAATAAAATATATTTGTATTCTTATGTAAGGGAATTGTCTGGTTATCTTGTTCCCCTATTCATGTCCACATGGGAAGATGAAAGACCACATTTGCCATTTTTAAAGGTAAATATTGCAACCACGTAGATATTTGCTTGTATGATTATTATACATCTGATGCTGATGTCATTCTTTTACAAAAAAACTCGAATGAATAGGATGGAATGAACTCAGAAAACTAATTTTGGGCCAAGTGCTAACATTCAAGGACAATGAATGTGAAGATAACATGCCTGCTGGTCGACTGGAATTCATCAATTGTATTAGGAAAATCCAAAGTTAAACTGGTATGTCAAATAGTATCAATTCATCTCGAAATGTCAAATGACTCAAATATCTGATTCCAATATGCTAACCTTGTTTTTCTACCAATATGATTGTGTAGGGAACTCAATCAGTGGAAATTGATTTGTCAGAGAGAATTCTTGCAGCCAACAATTAATAGATAATGAGCAGGGAGACAATGAACATGTAGAGCTGGATTTTTTACCGCTTTGAGAAATTAATACTATATTTTGGTTTCTACTTAACATATCACTTACATATATGTAGAAAACTTTTGGAGCTTGCAAGGATATACATTTTTTGGGGTTACCAATTATAAGCGATGATGGAGTGCTTCAAAATTTGATGATTGTGGGTTCAGACATGACAATACTTGAACCATTTGGGTCAATTACAAATATTTGGATGTAAATGACTTTCAGTTTCTACCTTATAATGAAATCTTGACATGTACTCTTTAACAGTATTCTGATCTTGATGGTGGTCCTATGTATTGGTTGAAATTTCATGATGTTTACTAGCACTTGCAGTGCCCTTATTATTTTATTTCCACAAATATGGGCATCAGATTGTTGATTGCTTAATTGCTTCTGGGATGTAAAAGAAAAAAAGAAAAAAAATACAAATGAAATTTTATATTTCAAAAGTAATGATCATCACCATAAAAATGATTCCCTTCTTAATAATATTCTCAATATTTTATTTTAAATAAAACCTTCTCAAAATTAATAAAAATTGTGATTTCTGAACAACAAAAAATAACCCTTCATCCAATGAAATGAAGGTGTGAACTTGAAATTGTGAAATATAATATTTCAAAAATAATTTGCATCACCATAAAAATGATTCCCTTTTAAATAATATTCTTGAATTTTTTTATTTTAAAAAACACCTCAAAATAAAAAATATTTTTGATTTCTGAACAAAAAAAACTCTTTCATCCAATGAAATGAAAGTGTCAAGCTGAAATTGTTAGGTCATGACGAACAATGTTAGGGTGCAACCAATTTTCATTAAACAAATACTCAGTGTAATCTTATTTCTGATGTTTAGAAAAAATTGGATTAAAAAAAGTATTGCAAAATGGTACGTCGGGCAGGTTTTAATTTTTCGTCCGATGAAATACACATACATTAAGTGTGAAGCTGAAATTGTTAGGTCATGACGAACACTGTTAGGTGCGACCAATTTTCATAAAACAAATACTCAGTGTAATCTTATTTTTGATGTTTATTTTTCATCCGATGAAATACACAGACATTAATTGTGAACCTGAAATTGTTAGGTCATGACGAACAGTGTAGCTGAGGGTCCGTAATACATTGCAAATAGCGACATAGTACGCATGCAAACACTGCTAATAAGCCGGGCTGGCTGATTGCGTAGGACAGCACACACGGGTTTCTCAAAAAGAAAAAAAACGCGCAGCATACACCCGCTGACTTCTCACAAGACGTGTCCGTATCCGTATACATGAGACTTGGAGAGTGAATATCCTATTTAGATTGGTACAGCAGTCCAAAACCTACTCGTACAGGAGGCCAAAACCTACTCTGAGGCAGGCACCGTTGGTGCTACAAATACTATCTCCAAGTGATTTTATCTTACACAAACCCCAAGTATTTGGCGCAGTCAACCAGTCAGTTTCACACGTCGCCTTGTCGCCTTGTGCAAACTGCCTTCAGCTCAATTAAGTTGTTTGGCAAGTCAGCTTTACATCAGGTAATTTTTATATCTGTTTCAATATACGACATCATTCAACATGTCTATGAACACTGGTACCTGCAATGATAATGATAGATAATTAGAGTAGTCGAATGAATTTTTTTCTCACAATAGCAAATCAATTGTTACATGTTTGACGCATCTAAAGAACAATACTCCATATGGATTTTCATTACATTTTTCTTGTTTAAGTAATATATATAACTTGACGGCATCCAGTTTTACTTTAACATGCAGTGCACTAACAACAAATTATGATGTATGGCATTACAAATATTTCTTTCCCTCATGCAGGAAAACATTTGGGCCATAATCTCAAATCATGGATGCTAAGGAAAAAAGAAGAAAGAGAGATAGAGAGCGGTATGCACGCATGACAGATGAAGTCTGGCAGGAGAAACTCAAAAAACGCCGTGAAGCCTATCATTGAAAGAAAGATTCAGAAAAGAGACAAGAACAAAACGCAGCCAAAAGCGCACAAGAAAAACAAAAATATGCAAGTATGCAACCAGAACAGAAGAAAGCAAGAAAGGAACAAATTGTAGCTCGTCGTCAATTGAATCGCAGCACACCATGCAAAGATTCAATTGCAATGGAAAACCCTGAATATGTCGCAACCGAACAGGAGGTTGCGACTTCTGAATCTACTGTCAAACACAGGTATCATGTGGCAGCAGGAAAAAGGCAAAAATTACTACACCATCGTAACAAAGAATTCTCGAGAAGACGGAGGCAAACTGTTGACGTATCATCACAAGAAGATGCATCCATCATGGAAACCTGTGACAAAAACAATCAAACTCTAGAGCAGCCACAAGTGATGACTTACGGTAATAATCTCGATTTTATACTCGCATTCCAAGTAAATGTTAATCCGTCTGTACAACTTACCACCTATTCTGGACAGACATCCCCTCCTCAATGTTTCCAAGCATCAGAGAAACCGATGCACCAACACAATCATTAGACAATGATGATCACAGTAAAGTGGGTCTGTGGCCAGACATCCCCTCCACAATGCTTCAAACAATCAAAGAAGTGCATGGACGAATACAATCATTCTGCAATGATGATCACGGTAAGTTCATAAATTACATATTAATACTTTTATATAAAAACATTTTATATACATAACAACAACAAAATAATAAACAGGTAATGATGGAATCATATATGAGCAAGAAGCAACGATTAAGGAAATAGACACGGCAGCAAAAAACAATCTACAACGAGGATCACGGTAAGCTTATCAATTTCATAAATGTTCTTACTCAATACAATCATATATACACATATATACAATCAAAACTTACAACACAGGTAATGATGAAGTCATATTTGAAGAAGACACAGACGAAGATGAATACATGTTCACCGGTGAAGGTATGCTTAATACAATTAAAATAAATTTGCAACATTATAACACTACTTACTAAATTTAATATGTTGCATATCAAACCAGAGTGGGATAGAGAAGTGGAAATTGAAATCATAGAAGACGAGGAAGCTCTCAACCCTGATCCATATGATTTCGTCTACAGCAACATACCAACAAGCACAAACGTGCTCGAAGAAGAAGAAGATTGCAAATTATGCCATGCAACCAAATTCAAGTATGAAACTGAAGGATTATGCTGCAAAAAAGGACAAATAAGACTAGCCAATCCAGATACGCCTCCTGAGCTAATGAGACTTTGGACAAGCAACGACCCTGATGCAAGACATTTTCGCAAAAACATAAGATTTTTCAATGGACACTTCTCGTTTACTACTCTATACTGTCACCTCGACAGAGACACGAGTGACATGCGAACGGCCGGTATTTACACCTTTTGAGCACATGGTCAGCTATATCACAACATACACTCATTTGGTAACAGCCAATCAAATCCAAAGCATCTCGAGCTATACTTCTACGACGATGATCCAAGCTTAGAGCATCGATACCGCCTTTGCCGTGAGGAAATGTACGAGCAAGACAAGAATGTCATTCGAATTATAACAGGTATCCTACGCGGTAACCCATACTCTCAACAGTTCAGGAGTTTGGGACAAGCCGAAAACATTGAGGACTACAGACTCATGTTGAACCTTGACCAGAGATTGGACCAAAGAACATACAACGAGCCAATCAATTCAGAGGTAGCTGCAGTGTGGATTGAAGGAAATGAAAGAAGGGATACTTATGACAGAAATGTAATATTACATGGGAACAACAACGAAAAAGAGCACATTCAATCATATTATGGGTGCTATGATCCATTGTCATATCCTCTATTCTTTCCAAGAGCTGAACTCGGTTGGCATAGGAAAATACCAAAGAGGGAAACAAAAGAGGCACATATTGCTGCTGATAATATCACTAATGACGATGACCCATGTAAAAAAACATATGCTATTATATATTTAAAATACAATTTTAATATACTAATACCTATGCAACTAACTTTTTATCTTCCAATATTTGCACAGATTCAGCCAGTGGCCTGTGGGTAACCATGAGAGAATACTACTGCTATAAATTCCATACACGACCAGGCATATTCAACCCAATTTTGCACGGCGGACGGCTTTTCCAGCAATTTGCTGTAGATACATACATCAAGATTGAAAGTTCCAGACTGGATTACATCTGGCACAATCAAAAGAAAATAAGGGCGGAGCTATACCAAGGCCTTCTAGACAGCATTCAAGCTGGAGAGCAAAATGGAGATGCAGTCGGAAAACGAAGAGTGCTTGCCTCATCATTTATTGGAGGGCCACGAGATAGACTTCGTCGGTATCTCGATGCTATGGCTTTAGTTAGAAAATATGGAAAGCCAGATGTATTCCTAACAATGACCTGCAACCCCAACTGGGAAGAGATCACACGTGAACTAGAGACTGGACAAACACCACAAGACCGCCCAGACATTGTCGTTCGTGTTTTCAGGGCGAAGCTACAAGAAATGAAGAAGGAACTATTTGAGAAGGGAATTCTTGGAAAGGTTCAAGCATATACATATGTCGTAGAGTTCCAAAAGAGGGGATTACCCCATGCTCACTTTTTGCTCATCATGACTGGAAAATACAAGTATACATGTCCAGAACAGTATGACAGAATCATCTCCGCCGAGCTCCGTAACAAGCACAAGTACCCAGAGCTATACAAAATGGTAATCAAACATATGATGCATGGTCCTTGCGGTGCATTGAATAAACTTTGTCCATGCACAAAGAATCGTCCATCATGCAAGAACAATTATCCAAGGCCATTTAACGAAACTACGATTCAAGGCAAGGACTCCTACCCGATATATAGGAGACGCAACGACGGTCGGACTGAAACGGTCCGAAATTGCAAACTAGATAACAGGTGGGTGGTTCCTTACAATCCCTATCTGTTAAGGATGTTCAACTGCCACATAAATGTTGAGATATGCTCAAGCATTAAAGCCGTAAAGTACCTCTTCAAGTACATCTACAAGGGTCATGACCGGGCGTCTGTATCTGTAACAGACAAAGTGGACGAAGTAGAAATCGACGAGATTAAGCAGTACAGAGATGCACGGTGGGTGACACCTCCTGAAGCAATGTGGAGAATATATGGCTTTGAACTAAGCAAAATGCACCCACCGGTCTTGCAATTGCAACTACATCTCCCAAATAAGCACATGGTTTCATATCATACCATGGAAACCATACAAAATGTTATCAACCGTGAAGGCACAGAAAGATCAATGTTGACTGCGTACTTTGAAGCAAACATCACATATCCAAAAGCACGAGGCATACTATACAGAGAGTTTCCGGAACATTTTACTTGGCAAAGTCAAGGAAAGTTTTGGCAACAGAGGAAGCGAGCCTCGGTGTTCCAGGTTGGCAGGATCGTCTCAGCACACCCGGCTGAAGGAGAACGATACTATCTTCGAGTCCTCCTAAACCATGTGACTGGAGCCACCAGCTTTGAAGACCTACGAACAGTCAATGGACAAGTAATGCCAACCTTTCAAGAAGCTGCAGAAAAAAGAGAACTCATTGAGGCAGATAGCACATTGGATGACTGCATGACAGAAGCGGAGTTGTTTAGAATGCCATCATCACTACGAAGGCTATTCGCGACGATCTTGGTTTTTTGCGAGCCTAGCGACGTACGCAGCCTCTGGAACAAACACCTTGAGGCAATGTCAGAGGACTACAGCAGAAATTGCAAATGCAAACACACAGTCGAACAGATGGTTCTAAAAAATATCAGAGACATGTTGCACTCCATGGGAAAAGACATAGAATCATTTCCTCTTCCAAAAATCGACAAACAGGATGAGACGACAGACAACATACCGAGGGAGATCACCGAGGAGACCTCCATTGAGGTGGACCCCGAGGACACAACATTGCATAAAAACCTAAACTACGAGCAGAAGAAGGCATACGACGAAATCCTAGCGACAATTGATAGCCAAAAAGGAGGTATATTCTTTGTGGATGGACCTGGAGGCACAGGAAAAACTTTTCTTTATAGGGCGCTCTTGGCAACAATACGCGGACAAGGCAAGATTGCTGTGGCAACCGCCACTTCTGGTGTGGCTGCTTCCATAATGCCCGGAGGGAGAACCGCGCACTCGAGGTTCAAGATTCCACTTAAAATAGATGATGGGGATATTTGTGGCTTCACAAAACAAAGTGGAACATCCAAGCTACTCCAAGCAGCATGACTAATAATCTGGGATGAAGCATCTATGACCAAGAGGCAGACAGTGGAGGCGCTAGATAAAAGCATGCGGGACATAATGGACAGACCGTACCTTCCATTCGGTGGAAAAACAATTGTATTTGGAGGAGATTTTAGGAAAGTACTACCTATTGTCCGAAAGGGAACAAGAGCCCAGATAGTAGATGCATCACTACGCAGGTCGGTCCTTTGGAATTCAATGCGTCAATTGAAGCTTGTGCGCAACATGAGGGCTCAAAACGACCCATGGTTCGCAGAATACCTACTACGCATTGGAAACGGAACCAAGGAGACAAATGATGATGGTGAAATACAACTACCTACAAGTATATGTGTGTCAAGTAAGGATGACAATGGCCTGGATAAACTAATCGACAATGTCTACCAAACGGACAAAGATTCACTAAAAGATCCAAAGTACATCACGTCAAGAGCAATTTTATCCACAAGGAATGACTCCGTGGACAAAATAAACCTAAAAATGATTGATCGTTTCCAGGGGGAGGAGATGGTGTACCACAGCTTCGATTCAGTAGAAGACGACCCACATAACTACTATCCACCAGAATTCCTGAACACTCTCACACCAAATGGACTACCTCCCCATATGTTGAAGCTAAAAATAAATTGCCCAATCATACTACTCAGGAACATCGACCCTGCTAATGGACTATGCAACGTCACAAGGTTGGTCGTACGTGGATTCCAACAAAATGCAATTGATGTAGAGATTGTGGTGGGACAGTACTCTGGAACACGAGTTTTCCTACCTAGGATACCCTTATGCCCCTCAGATGATGACATGTTTCCGTTCAGTTTCAAGAGGAAACAGTTTCCAGTCAGACTCAGTTTTGCAATGACAATAAATAAATCACAAGGCCAAACAATACCAAATGTTGGCATCTACCTGCCTGAACCGGTTTTCTCACATGGTCAGCTATATGTTGTGCTGTCAAGAGCAACTGCAACATCAAACATAAAGGTGCTAACAAGTACACATGATGTCAGCAAGCAGAAGAATAAAAAGATCACTACAGAAAACACATACGCAAAGGGAGAGAAGAAAAAGAGGAAAAGGAAGACCAATACAAGCGGGACATATACGAAAAATATTGTCTACACGGAAATCCTAACAAAATAGGTAATACAACATTTCGATTTCTTCTTCTAAAATTCAGTTCTACATATTCAAGTGTTGTTAGACAAACTCACAGGCTGCGGGCGAAGCGCCGTGGCCGCCGCCGCCGGCGGATGCTGAGCAAGAGGGCATCGCTGGAGAACATGACCGACCGGCCGGGGAGCGGCGGCAGGGGATGCCGGCAGGCGGAGGGCAGACAGAGAAGGCGCGATGGGGATTCCGGATCCGAGAGAGGAAGAGGCGGAGGAGGTCGCTGGAGGGAGATCTGACCGGCGGCGCCGTCCGCTAACCCGTCGCGGTTCAGCTCGCGAGTGCGCATCCTGGGAGGTTGGTTCGGGGATAATTGTGGCCTTTTCGTCTGTGGCCTTTTCGTCAGTACGTCCTACCAAAGAGAAGATGACAATAACACCAACTCAAAATAGACTTTTAAACAACAATGACTGTGCGCTACATATGGTATGTTTATTTTTAGAGATATGGTAGAAAGTCTCTAATAAATATATTAAAATTTCATAATCATGATGGTCATCTTGCAGTATGTGGATGTTAAAACTTATAAAAAATAAATTAAAAAAAACATCGTAATTGATATCTCTACTACAAAAATCCATTGCAGACCTAAACTACATGTTCCCGAAAGATGATAAGGAGGGGTGAGGGGCTTTTCAAATATAAAATTCATGATCCGGAAATATTTTGGATCACTACTGTACTTCTATTTCAACAACATAATTTGTTTCAACTTGTCATGTGTCCGTTCACCAACAGTACGGAGAACATGCAACTTGGAACATCAAGTAAGAGCATATCCATGTTTTACTAATTATATATATTCTTTGAGAAAGCTATGGGAGTTACAAACTAAAAATATGAATTGTTCAAAAATTGTTCGAACAATGTTGTTATGTTATGGTTGTAGTTGTTTGAGTGGTATAACTTTCAACTGTTTAAACATATATTTATTTATTTTGCATGGCACTTTTGCTATAAATTAGAAAAGATATATAATATTACAAAAAAATGTTCATCACCATAAAAAGAATTCCAATTTCAAAATTATTCTTGAATTTTTTAAATACATCCAAAATGGAAATTTAGATAAAGTTATATTTAATATTTCGCCCGGTGCAACGCACGGGCATTTGTACTAGTTAGTACTAATTAGGTTAATTAATATGTCTAATTAAAATGTGTCACTGACCAGTGGGACCCACTGGTCAGGTTGACCAGTCAACCCTGTTGACTACTGACGTCAGCATGACATCATGCTGATGTCATAAATACATTTTCGAATTAAATTAAATAATTAACTGAATTCTAGAAATTATTAAAATCTTTAGAAAATCATATCTTTTAATCCGTAACTCGGATTAAATTATTTTCAACATGAAAGTTGCTCAGCACGACGAGAAGACTTCGAATACGCAACCCGTTCGTCCACCACACATCCCTAGCATAGCAAACCTGCAAAATTTCACCTCCGGTTCATTTGTCCGAAAACACGGAACACCGGGGATACTTTCCCGGATGTTTTCCCCCATCACTGGTATCACCTCATACCGCGTTAGAACACGTTTAGCTGCTTGTTGTCCTGTTATGCACTTGCTTGCTATGTATTTACTGTTTCTTCCCCCTCTTCTCTCCGGT